GAGACAATGCAGCCCAATGGCACCCTCCTCTGTCATGTGGAGGGGGAGCCCACAGGACTACAAGTCCCACCATGCACCGGACCCTTCTGATACCATGCTGGGCCCTGGTGCACCTCTGGGAGGAAGAGGAGAGCAACAGCAATTTGTTCCTTTGGATAAAAACGCCAGAATGCACGCGAGGGCTGCACCCAAAGCTGACAACAGGGCCCCTGGTGGAGCCAGGTCTGTGGGCGCCGGTTCTAAGCAAACATCCCTGGCTGTTATAGCCATGCCACCGCTACTGTCTGCTAGAAACACCAAAGGCTGTTGGGCGCTTAGCTGAGGAGGAAGACACACTCACTCCAAAGGAAAATTGTGTCACCAGCTGCTTGTGCAATCCGGCTGAAGAACACCCTTCATACGGGCGTAGAGACAGGACGATACCTTGAAAGGCAGGCTCTCGCCCAATGCCCCTGCTACAGAGCAGAGATCCCCTGCAGAGCCGATTTTCATGGGTCTCATGAGCTCTACCCCACCAGTGCAAAGCCCAGGTCACCAGGAGAGAAATGATCCCTTGCTGCCAAATTACACGCTCTGAGCTCCAAGTGCACCTCTCACGGACTCGCTCTTGTGTCACATGGAGCTTATCTGGCCCTAGGTGTGTTCAGAACAACTGCATACTTCGGGCGTGATTGGTAGAGTTAGCCAAGGAGGAGAGGGGAGGAGCAGAGATGGCAGGCCAGAGGCCTTACTGGGGGGAGGGGGGGCTATTCAGAAAGGACAGACTCTCCATGGGGCAGGGACGGAGTGGAAGAACACAGCGACACTTCACACACAGCATGCTCATGCTCCAGTCTCAAAGCACCTTATCCAAGGTACCAGAGTGCCCACGTTACAGAGAGAGAGATTGATGCACAATTTGCCCAAGCTCCCTGGAATCAGAGCACAGCAAAGAGCAGACTCCAGAAGTCCTGGTCCCAGCCCACTGCAACACAGGATGGGGGTGGGGGGGGCGCGTATCTATACATAGAGTTAAAATACTCAGCCATTTCTCCCTCATGCAAGTTGCCAGACTAAAATATGGCAACCGTGTCTGCACGGCCCAGCTCAGCACTACCCAGCTCCTGCCTCACCCTCCGCCCAAGCATCACTCCCTCCCACTCACCAACTCCACTGTTCGCTCTCCACCCTCGGCTGCCCAATTAACAAAAATTCCTCCAGAGCACTCATTAAACACTCCCAAACCTGCACCGTATCCTAGCCGCTCCCTTCCCCACGTTTGCACTCCAGTGTCCTGGGTGGGGCTGCATTCACCCTTTGTGGCAGGAGACCCATTCTTTGACACATCTCCCCTACAGCCCTGAGTACCTTTACATCTCAGTATTGACATTTGCTCCTGGCCCATACTTCGGGCTTGCTCTTTCTCCCCAGGGGTGCCCCAAACAAAAGTGAATTCAGTGCTGCATTGGCAAGCCCAGAGATGGAATCTTCTCTCTCCACAGAGCAAGGCCAGCAGCAGACTGAGCTTCCCTGGGCACCACTGCCTCAGCCCCACCCCGCAGAGACCACCCATCAGTCCTTGATCTGGCCACCCAGACCATTAATACAAGCACCAACCACAGTAGCAGGTTTTGTGACGTGGGCACCTGTTTCTCTATGAAATAAAATGAGACCCACCAACTTGTTTCACAAGGACTACTGAACAGCTGTCCGATGGGATGGCGCCCAGAGGTGAAACTCTCCAATATAAACCATCCCCAACCCACCCAGTCCCCCTCCCACCTTTGTATTCTGGATAAAATCATGAAAATGACAAACTGCTGCTTAACACTGAAAAATCAGAAAGCCTTTAGACCTTCTGGGGGAAGCACCTAAACTGAGACTCTCTAGACAACTCCTCTCAAACGAAGTACATTCTTGTTCAATACAGTGGTAACAAAAGGACCTTGGAGCACCCATTTGTTGCTAGACTCTTTCTTTCTGGCTCAGTTACATAACGGTTCAAGCCCTCTGTTCTGGACACTGATTGCATTGTGCATTTAATGAGATGACCCTATCTGCTCTGATTATACAGACATTTTGGCACACAGGAAAGCTATCTTTCAGGCCCTGCCTAGCCTGTCCTGGGAAGTTGTTGTAGCACCTCTTTAGCAAACCATGCTAAGGGCTCATCTAAGCAAAGCGGCACTGGTTTAACAAGAGGTGTGACGCTGATTTTGTTAAACCAAAGCAAAACGCTACATGGAATCTCTCTTAAAAAAACATAAACCTGATTTATATCAATTTAGCGGAAGAGGATTAGGATCAGGTTTTTCGCTAAATAGAAATAAGTCACTTTGAAACCAAAATTGAAGTGTCTACACAGGGGTTTGCACAGATTTAACTTAATCAGTTTTAAAATCAATTTGTGTGGACCCATGCTGACTAGGATTTCTAATAGTATGGTGCTAATGCTGTTTCCATGAGCAGTGCAGACAGAAGACCCAAGTCAGCAAGAGGTTATACTGCCCATTTAGATGGGACTTTGCATTACTTGCACCAGTGTAAAGGATGGGTTGAGAGCACTCGAGATCCAATCATTATGAGCCGTAGGGTTCATTGACTAATCTGAGGAAATCAGAATTTAGCGTTTCCCTATAATAAGGAAGATTAATTACAAAGCACTATTTCCCAGCATCCTTAGCAAATCTCAAGGAGTAACTTAGTCTCTGCCTAACCTTATGCATATGCAAAGATGCATCCGGATGAGACAGATTCCTTTCCATCCAAGTCCCACACAAAAGGAGCTGCCCTTCTCTGAGGCAGGTTTTGATGTATTTTGCAATGGCCACGGCCCTGCAGTGAGCTCACCCTCCAGCAGACAACATGGGGGCAGTGAAGGAAACAGCCCAGCTGATTCATCTGTTCCTTTTGGCTGCTGGGTTTTGTTGTTTTTTTTTGAGAGAGATTTAATGATGAAACAAAAGCCAGCCACAGTTTGCAGACGACGACCCCGGCGACCACTCTTTCTGCAAGTGCTGTCAGAGGGGATGGGGGTGACATCCTCAATGTGCCCAATCTTCATTCCAGAACGAGCGAGAGCTCCAAGGGCTGACTGGGCACCAGGTCCAGGAGTCTTGGTCCTATTTCCACCTGTAGCTCGCAGCTTGATGTGAAGGGCAGTGATGCCCAGCTCCCTGCACTGCTGGGCAACATCCTGGGCTGCCAACATAGCAGCAGAGGGCGAAGACTCATTTATCAGCCTTCACCTGAATACCACCAGCCACTCGGCAGACGGTTTCCTTGCCAGAGAGATCAGTTACATGGGTAAGTGTCATTGAAGGAAGTGAAGATATGGCAGACGCCAAACACATTTTCCCCTTCGGCAACTGGCGGTCCCAAGCTGATGACCTGCTCTTCCTTCTTCTCCTTACCCTTATGCGGTGCTATTTCTGTGCATCCTCTCGGGCACCCAACACCGGAAAGGATAAACACTCCCCAGCTCTGGCTAAGAAGGCTAAACACAAACAAGCACAACTGTCGACAGTCTGAAGTGTCACTCTCTGAACTGGTGACACCGTCTGGAAGGATTTCCATAGTATTTGCACATCTGCATTCCACCCTCCCCTGCGAGCCCCACACAAGGCCATAACCCTGTCCACTACACCCAGATCTTGCTTGCAATACCTGCTTCAGCACAAACAAGGGCAGTTTTGTAATAAAGGCGGCTACAAACCAAGATTAGATACTAATTACAAAATGTACATTGCAGAGACATTATTCAGCACAGGGTTAGGTTTCGGGTGGGAGAGAAATTGAGAGCAATTATTCAACAGCATCTGGCACAGTACAACCTGGAAATGCTGGGGAAAATGCAGGTTAGAGGTTACAAGGAAGTCACCCATTCGCCACACTAAGGTTTCAGTTCTTCCACAAGAGGAGCTGTGATTCAGACCCTACTTGCCAGTTGCCAGGATGCAAGGTCTGCACCTAGGATGCATTTCTGACACCTTAAGCTTCAGGGGTGAGCAAATGCAGCTCTTTTCTGCCACAGCAAATAGAATCAACATGGCAAACAACAGGAAAGCGAGGAGTTCATTATTGTTCAAAGTACAAGGCTTTGTTTGAATTAGACCCTACAAAGACAGAAATTACCTTTCATGTGTTAAAAGAAAAGGAGTACTTGTGGCACCTTAGAGACTAACCAATTTATTTGAGCATGAGCTTTCGTGAGCTACAGCTCACTTCATCGGATGCATACTGTATAAATTGGTTAGTCTCTAAGGTGCCACAAATACTCCTTTTCTTTTTGCGAATACAGACTAACACGGCTGTTACTCTGAAATCTTTCATGTGTTGTTACAGATCAGATGATTCTCTGGCTGGAATCAAACAGCTATTTCCGAAGTTAGATTGTACAGATCCATGGCTAGCTATGGCTAAGAAAACTGCCTGTAAATTTTTTTTAAAAGCACCCCCTAGACTTGGAGCTCCTTAGTTCCATCTGATAGAGGGAATTCTGAGGTCCACCCCCCACCCCCCCCAAAAAAACAGCCACTACCTTCTTCCCCAAAGTACTGGTTGCATGCAAGTATTGTTTTATGTCATTGTCCTAAGTTTAGTTCCTGCACAAATTGCCTGAAACCACAGAGTTTCTGAACCCCTCAGCAGACATTTGCTATTCTATATATTCCTCCCTAAGCAACTTAATTTACAATAACCCCCTGGGCAGGAGGCAGGCAGATCAAACCTCAGCCACCCCCAGTGATACTTTTGGCTGCTTTCGAGCTATTCGGCCAAAAGTCGCAGCCCTGCAGCCCAAGGGCTACAGGCAACTGAACAGGTCCCCCCTTACCCAGCCTCGGCAAGCCCACCGCCCTTCTCACGGGCTACACCACTCTCAGTGGCGCTTCTACTGCAGAAATGAGACCAGCCCTACGGGTCAGCGCGATGCGACCCAGCCCTGCCAGGGCCGGGGGGAGGAACGAAGGAAGCCCTGCACTGGTATGAAATTTTTCATTACGCAGGAGGGTTTCCCCTACCTCGGAAACGGTGAGGCAAACAGCAGGCAAAGGACTAGCAGTAACAGCAGCACAGGGCAGCTGGAAGAGGTCTGCGTTTCCCGTCCCAGGCTACCAAGTATTCCCCAGGATTAGCCCAATTAGCCCTCCGCATCTTGCTTGAGTGTAGCAAAGCAGCAGCTCCCTCCGTCTCCACCCGCCGCTGCTCTGCCCAGGGGAGAGAAGGGGACCAGGTGCCAGGCAGCTGCGGCCCTTCCGAGGCGGCGGGGCGGGCAGGCTGCTCCCCCGCTGCGGTCGGGGCCGCCCGCCGCCCAGGGCCCAGGCAGCCGGCCCAGCCCCCCCCACGGCCGTGCCCAGCCCCCCACCGGCCGTGCCCAGCCCCCCCACGGCCGTGCCCAGCCCCCCCTGCCGGGGCCCGCCTCCGCCCCCACCCAGAATTGGGGGGCTGCCCCACCAGGGACCGCGAAACCAGGGCGTGCCCCCCATCCCCCACACACCGCGCTCACACACGGGGGGGTCTCACACACACACCCCTACCCCCCACCGCAGACACAACAGCGGGCGGGTGACACTGACACACGGGGGGGGGGGCCCCCCATGTCGGCGGGGCCCGGGGCCGGGCCGCCTCTCCCGGTACCTGGCTCCGCGTCTTCCGGCCTCCCCGCCCGGCGCCGCCGCCCGCACTCACCGGCCGCAGGAGCTCGCGGCGCGCGGCCGAGACGGGCCCGGGGCGGGGGGCGGGGAGCGGGGCCCAGCCCGGATCGGCCCCGGAGCCGGCACGCGGCGGGGGAGGGGAGCGGCCTGGCCTGGCCCAGCGCGCGGCACCAGCCCCGCCCCCAGCGCGGCACCCCCCACAACCCGGCACCCCCCAGCCCCGCCCCCAGCCCGGCGCCCCCCCCGCCCCCCCCCAACCCGGCACCCCCCAGCCCCGCCCCCAGCCCGGCGCCCCGCCCCCCAACCCGGCACCCCCCAGCCCGGCACCCCCCAGCCCCGCCCCCAGCCCGGCGCCCCGACCCCCAACCCGGCACCCCCCAGCCCCGCCCCCCCCCGCGCCCCGACCCCCAACCCGGCACCCCCCCAGCCCGGCACCCCCAACCCCGCCCCCAACCCGGCGCCCCGCCCCCAGCCCGGCACCCCCCCAGCCCCGCCCCCCACAACCCGGCACCCCCCAGCCCCGCCCCCAGCCCGGCGCCCCGCCCCCCAACCCGCACCCCCCAGCCCGGCACCCCCCCAGCCCCGCCCCCAACCCGGCGCCCCGACCCCCAACCCGGCACCCCCCAGCCCCGCCCCCAACCCCCCCCCCCCCCCCCCAACCCGGCACCCCCCAGCCCCGCCCCCCACAACCCGGCACCCCCCAGCCCCGCCCCCCAGCCCGGCGCCCCGCCCCCCAACCCGGCACCCCCCCAGCCCCGCCCCCCCCCCAACCCGGCACCCCCCCAGCCCCGCCCCCAACAACCCCCCCGCCCCCAACCCCACCCCCCAGCCCCGCCCCCAACCCGGCGCCCCGCCCCCCAACCCGGCACCCCCCCAGCCCCGCCCCCAGCCCGGCGCCCCGCACCCCCCAGCCCTGACCCCCAGCCCGGCGCCCCCCCCCACAACCCGACACCCCCCCAGCCCCGCCCCCAGCCCGGCGCCCCGCCCCCCAACCCGGCACCCCCCAGCCCCCCGCCCAGCCCTGAACCCCCAGCCCCGCCCCCCAACCCGGCACCCCCCAGCCCCGCCCCCAGCCCGGCGCCCCGCCCAGCCCTGAACACCCAGCGCCCCCCCAGCCCCGCCTCCCCACAGCCCGGCACCCCCACAGCCCTGAACCCCCAGCCCCCCCCCAACCCGGCACCCCCCAGCCCTGAACACCCAGCCCCGCCCCCTAGCCCCGAACCCCCAACCCGGCACCCCCCAGCCCCGCCTCCCCACAGCCCAGCACCCCCCACAGCCCTGAACCCCCAGCCCCCCCAGCCCCGCCCCCAACCCGGCACCCCACAGCCCGGCACCCCCTCCCCCCAGCCCTGAACCCCCAGCTCCGCCCCTCAACCCGGTACCCCCCAGCCCCGCCTTCCCACAGGCCTGAACCCCCAACTCAGCATCCCCCAGCCCCGCACCCTCAACCCAGCACCCCCTGCCTCCCCACAGCCCTGCACCCCCCACAGCCCTGAAAACCCAGCCCCCCCCCACCAGCCCCGCCACCTGGCACCCCCCAGCCCCGTCCCCAGCCCTGCACCCCACAGCCCTGCACACCCAGCCCCGCCCCCCAGCCCGACACCTCCCCAGCCCCGCCTCCCCACAGCCCGGCACCCCCCACAGCCCTGAACCCCCAACCCAGCACCCCCCCCAGCCCTGAACACCCAGCCCCCCCAGCCCCGCACCCCCAACCCGGCACCCCCCACCTCCACCCCCAACCCTGCACCTCTACAGCCCTGCACACCCAGCCCCCCCGCAACCCGGCACCCCCACAGCCCCACCCCACAGCCCTGCACACCCAGCCCCGCCCCCCAACCCGGCACCCAGCCTTGCACCCCTACAGCCCTGCACACCCAGCGCCCCCACAGCCCAGCCCCCCCCACAGCCCTGCACCCCCAGTGCCCCCAGCCCAGCCTCTCTACAGCCCTGCACCCCACACAGCTGTGCACACCCATCCCCCCACACCCAGCCCCCACCCCTACAGCCCACCCCAGCCCCCCACCCACCTCCCCACAGCCCTGCACCCCCCACAACCGTGCATGCCCATCCCCCACCCCAGCCCTGCACCCCCACAGCCCTGCACCCCCAGCGCCCCTAGCCCAGCCCCCCCACAGCCCTGCACCCCCACCCCAGCCGTGCACACCCATCCCCCACACCCAGCCTTGCACCCCCACAGCCCTGCACGCCCAGCCCCACACACCCATCCAGCACCCCCACCCCTGCACTCCCACAGCCGTGCACCCCCACAGTCCTGCTCTCACACCCACAGCCGTGCACCCAAAGCCTTGCACACCCAGCCCCCACCCCCCACAGCCCTGCACACCCAGCCCTGCACCCCCACAGCCATGACACCTATCCCCCACACCCAGCCCTGCACCCCCCACAGCCATGCACACCCACAGCTGTGCACACCCAGCCCCCCACAGCCTTGCATTGTACTCTCTGCCTTGCACACCAGCCCCCAGCTCTGCACTCCTCACAGCTTTGCACACTCACACCCAGCCATGCACCCCCACACCGACCGCACACCCTTACACATTCTGCCTTGAACACCCAGCCTTGTGCATACCCACCCCACAACCCCTGTACCTCCTTCTGCAGCCTTGTATGCTATATCTTACATATCCACCCCACACATCCTTGCACACATGCCCAGCTGCCAGCCTTGCACACTCAGCTTTGCACAGCTGCTCTGCCTCCAGCCTTTTTCACCCAGCCCATCAGCTAGCCTTGCACATCCACTCCTCCACCCATAGCATTGCATACCCACCCTTGCATCTCCACCAGCTTGCCTTTCAAACACACGCATATCCTTTCAACATCCAACACCACCGCCCATCCTTACATACCCAGCCCCACCAGCCAACTTTGTGTACACAGTCTCCCAGCCTTGCACACCCATCAGTCACCCTTGCACCTCTGCTGGCCAGCCTTCTACACCCACAAATCTTGCACACCCATCCACACTGTCCAGTCTTACACACACACTGGCCAGCCTTACGGACACACACAGAAGACACCAGCCAGCCTTACACACTCATATACTCAGAGGCACCAACTTGCCTTAGACATCACAGACTCCCACTAACCTGCCTGACACACACAGAGGCCATCCTTACACATTCACATCAGCCAGCCTTACACACACACACTGGTCTTGCAAACTCACTCTCCAGCCATCCTTACATGCACTCTCACATACACTGGAAAGCTGCACGCACACACACACCATATAGCAACACACAGCTCCTTACGGGCCAGCATGACACACGGAGACATGGACAGTCACACTGCCAGTACAAACACACACGCGCATGTGCACACAAACTCTGCCACTGGAAGTGGAGAATCTAATTGAAAAGAAAATGCCATAAGTGATCTTGACAAACAGAAGGCGAGAAGGGGGCCATGCAGATCGTCCTTGGGATTCAGGGCCTGCCACGGAGCCCAGGAGATCAGGGTGCACTTTCCAGCTGTCCCACAGCCTTGACACAGGGCAACTCACTTCATTTCTCTGGCTTTCAGTTCCCAGTTCTGAGGATAACAGCATTTCCCTGCCTCTTGGGGGCTCATGAAAATAATTCCCCTAATGTGCTCAGATACGACAGGGATGGGCCGCACAGAAACCCTCATGCAGACAACAGGTACGGTAACAAATACAATCATTTGTAGTTTCAGCTAGACAGTATTTATTTTTTAAGTCCTGTCATAAAGAGCTGCTGTGGTCTTCCCCAGAGGTGGCTGCAGTGCAGGGCTGGGGCCACTGAGCTCTGTGTAAAACACACCCAGGTCCATCTGGCTAGAATTGCACAGCATAGTAAAACCAGTCTGATCTTAGAACAAATGAAACATGCCCAGGCTCCTTTGATGGATACGGAGTGTCTCTGTAGTGATGTACAGATACTGGACATTGGGATGGGCATGGTGTGAATATATGGGGTTGGGCTCCGAGAGGGTTGTAAGGAAAAGCTGGCAGGAAGTGGAAGACTAGCTCAAGATAAGGCAGCCACCTCTCAGCAAACACCTGAGGGCTGTTAAGGGACAATGGCAGAGCCATTGGCTCTGAGGACTCTGACTCCATCTCTTGCTGAGCCTGGGTATCTCCCGCAGCCCAGGAACAAGGACGAGCGAGCAAGAGGACGATAGCAGCTCAAAAAGGACAACTCGCAAGGGTGGGGGAGTTGTCTGGGGGAGTCTGGCTGAGACACAAGCACCCATAGCGGGTGTCTGAAGACACCCCTGCCTGGGTTACTGTCAGAGGTGGGAAGCCTTTTGGTAAGACCAACCTGGTGTAGACAGTTTGTTTTTTTGTTTTTTGATTTTTTTTTATGATCTGTTCCTTTGGTTGAAATAAGTAGCCCTTTGGCTATGAAGGCCGTTGTGGCGCGGGGGTGGATTTGATTTAAATCAAATTGATTTAAATCATGATTTAAATCACTAGTCAGGAAGACTCGATTTAATCATGGATTTCTACATAAAAGTGCTTTCTTGTTGGTTGTTATAACCTTAATACATATTCTTCACAACTCCGAGAGAGAGATGTAGGTTTCATTTTTAGAAGGTACACACTATACATTTTTAAGTGATTTATTTTGAAAACTTTTCAGATTAATTTTACAGCT